TGTATCAAGAAATGGTTGCGTCGTCCAGGCTCAAGCAAGGTATTTAGTTTCCGTCAGCTCTAATTTACGTGTTTTTGTTTTTTTTAAATATTGAATTACGTAATTCAGCCTTTTTTATGTTTTGATCCAATGTTTTGAGTATTTTTTGTGCTGTCCTCCATGTTTTAGTGCCCACAATGTAAGAAGAAATGTAGGCTAAAGGACATTCGATTACTTTATGCCAATCAAATTGTTGCTGTCGATGGAGAGGTTCAAAAGGTTGTACTTTTGCGAAATTGCAAAGAACTCTTATTATTATTATTATTATCATTTGTTTTTTTCTTTTTGAAATTGATTTCGATTGTGGTTCTTTCTTTGTTTATAATGCTGCAGACGGTAAAATCACTTGAAGCAAAATGTGCGTCTCTTGAGAAACTGGTGAGTGAAGTGCAGGAAACTACAGTGTTCTGCCCTTTCATGATATTTACATATTGTTCTGTGGATTGTGCAACCAAAAGCTCAGCTATTACCCGGCTTTGCTGATATTTCCCTTTTATGTTATCTGTCATTGTTTATCGGTAAAATTTAGTGTTAGGTTCAAATAAATCTCAATAATGGAAAATATATATATGCCATCTTGTGAGAGGACAATGCACACTGTAATTAATTTGGAAATTGATATTCGCATTTGGATATGCTGACTTTTTAATGGATACTCTTTCCGATTGTTGCTTTCAGTTCATGCAGTACTAATATGGGTAGTGGCAAAGGTGATATTAAGATTTATAAATTTTAAAAGTGGAAGAATATAGATAAGACCTCAATATCATTGTTAAGTTGGAAGAATTTAAACAAGATGGAAATGTTTTGCTTAAAGTCTGTTGCTTTCCTCCTAATCATTGCTATATCCTGCATGTTGCTTTTCCTCAATATTTGCAGAGTGTTGACTGGTCTAAGAAGGAAGTAGACTGGAAGAAGAGAGAAGCTGATTTATGCAAGCAAGTCCGATATCTGAAAGGGGTAAATGCATATTTATATTGTTCATATAGCTTTATCTATTCTTCTGTCACGTGATTGTTGTTCCCCTTGTATAGTGAGAAGTTTCGATATTCTTTCTATTTGGATGTCTTTGGACTTTTTCCATCTATTCTTCAGATAGAAGTATTAGCCCGCGTATCACTATTTTATTTTATTCAAAAAATTAATAAAGGTTAGTACAATCATGTGAGTATTTGAATCTTTTTTTTTTCTTTTCGCGTTTCGACATGGTGCATTTCCTAGAAGTGCTACCTACTTGGCAAAGTAATCTGTAAAATTGAGCCTGTAATTTATGTGAAAATCTTTGAATGTAAACGGTGGTTTTACAAAATTCATCTCGAGTTATTGTATACTCATGATAAGATGCATTGCATTGTTTTTTGGTACTATTAGTTATAAAACTGTGGCTGAACAAACGACCGCAAATGGCTTGACGGGTCAGGCCGTGATAGCATCTCGACCTTTTCTTTTGTTTTCCATTTGTTATATGTGTGGCTGGTAACAATTACCCCTCATTTTTCTTCTTATCTCAAATTTTTGTCTTGTAGAAAACTCATGACTTAGAGGATCTTCTAAAAGAAACGGAACACAGAGCTTCAGGATCATCTGCATCGAGTTGGAATCATTTAAGAGAACCAACTTTGGGTAATTACTGCCAGATTAACTTTCAGTGAATGGGAGTCGTCTGTTTGTTTTAGATTTTCTGTTTCTTTATTAATGTGCTTGATATGCAGGATTTAATGCTAATCCTAATTTCCACGTGGAAGGGTGTCCGAATAAATTTATATTGCAGGTCTGAATTCTTCATGATTTTTTTGTTGCAATTTTAAATTTTAAAGTACGTATCAAGAGAAGCATTAAATAATCTCATTGAATTTTGAGCAATGTCTCTATTACTTCTACAGAAGGACTTTCAGATAGATGGAGCTCGTCTCTTTGACATTGATTCTATCAATAAAAATTTTGTGTTTGCTCGAAGGCTCTCTGGAATGGGGGGAGCGCATGTGCTGACCAAAGTAAAGTTTTCATAAACTTCCGGAAAACGAATATCTTATAAATGAATAAAAAATGTTTTTCATACTTTGCAATATAGCATTATTGAAAGGAAAACTTGGAGTTTGTCTTGACAATTTATTGACTGGTTTTTATAGGTGAGCATGCTATCTAATGACGAAAGGGAGGATATTCGACTCCCTGAGAACACAAAAGCTATTAAGGATCTAGAAGTTTCTCCCCATGCCACACTTGTGCTGTTGGCTTCCTTAGGAAAGAAACTATCAGTTCTTAGGTAGGACTCTCTCTCTCCAAGTAAAATGGTCATTGAAGTGATTTAGCAGTTTTTTACGCTGTTTTTTTTTTTTTGCACTGTTGTTTCAGCACGGACAGCAACAATACCATTCTCACTTATGATTTACCGGTAATAACTCTAAATGTTATGCTTGTTTTTACTATTCAGCTTAAAGTTCTGATGCTTCTTGCATGTTCTGAAGTTTTTGCAAGTCGAAGCTCTAACCGATTTTGAATTTACAGGCTGCTGGCTGGTCATGTGCATGGGATATTTGCAGTCCACACTATATTTATGCGGGCTTGCAGGTACTGACTGACATTCTACATCCGTCTCAAATGATTGGGCTGCTGTTTCACATTCATCTGATTATGTGATTAAATTTATGCAGAATGGAACAGTTTTGCAGTTCGACATGCGTCAGACTAGGACACATGTGGAATCCTTAAGTGGATTGACATGCAACCCAATCCATACATTACATTCTCTTTCATCTGATTCATCTTCCACTTCCGGCGTTAGAAGTGTTTTAACTGCATCTTCACTTGGCTTATGTCAATGGAATTTTGGTGGAAGTGAAGAAAGGTATCTTCTATTACCTTTTTTTATTTCCTGGTTATTCATGCGTAAAAGCTTATTTCATTAAACTCCATAACATTTTACTACTCTTTATTATTGCAGGCCGTATTTGATACCTGAATCAGATAAGCAAGGAGTTTGTATATCACTTGCTTACAGTAGATACAGTGACGATATAGTTGCTTCATATCGTCCTAAAGTTGAGATATCTGGCGACCTGGAAATGTCACAACCCACACTTACGGCTCCTGGGCAAGGTACACGGGGCAGTCATGTAATATACAAAAAAAAGGGCTGCGCATACCAAAAGTTAGGAGTTACCGGTGCTAATGTGAGCGATATCCGACTGCCAAAATCCGCAATCATATATGGGGTACATCAAAACCCTGTGTTTGCTTCTGGAGATGAATTGACGGGCGAAATGGTGTTGCAAGACTTACCATCAATGATGGTTGTCGATCATCTTAGACCTAAAAAATACCCTATTCGTGACGCCAAGTACACACGTCTCTTGAATTCAGGATTGCTTGGCTGTTTGAGTGAGGATTCCATGCAGTTATTCAGCGCGCCAAGGTATCGTGAAGGTAAATGTAGCCATTGGAGTTGAATATGAATGCTAAATGTAATACAATTGATGGTTTCCTTAGTGTAGATTATTGAATTGCTACCTATTAAGTTGAAGCCTTGGCTTCTTAGTGCACTGTCTTTAACATGATTTTATTGCAGGTGGCATCATGAGATGATCGATCGAGTAAAAAACGTAATTTATGTCATTGAAGGTACACGGACCTCTGCAAATCAACCTTCGTAGCTAAGGTCGTAGCTATTTATATATATACATATCGATCATGCACTATGTACAGTCTGTAGTATGTTTATGATTTCTTTGCTCTTCTGCTTCTGAAAATGGCAGTTTTTTATACCTTGCTTCCATACTAAAGATGATCTTGGAAAATATCCGTACCATAGTGTTTAACATTTCCTCGTAAGTTTAACGGCATTCCATTTATAAGCATTGTGCAATAGACCTCAAAATTTGCATCGTTGAACATAAATTTTTGTATTACTGATCCTATCGTTTTTATCCGGAATAATAATTAATAAATGTTTAGGGTAAATTACACCCACATCCCTAAGGTATGTTGCAAGAACTTTAAGGTCCCTGTGGCATTTTGGTAATAATACTCTCTTCTCAAACTCTTTCTATCATTAATATTTTTCCGTTCGTTGTTTCATCATCGACGCTCCTAGGTCTGACGTTCGGCGAGCTCTCTGACGATCAAAATAGTAGAGATTATTTGGTTTATTTGATCTAATAAAGACATTATGTCGTAGTCTAAGAGATTAGGTCTATATTTCATTATTCTTTTTGAAAATAAATTTTGAAAATTTATGGGTGGGTTACATCCACATCCATAAATGACAAGATGTAATGATATTGAATTGGATTTTCTCTGTATTTAATTAATCAAAATAGTACAAAGCGTGTAGACCCTATTCTTCGTACTAATTCTAGATAAATAATTCCCAGCACAATAATTTTGTTCTAACTTTTCTTCACATAATATATATATATATATATATATATATATAGAAACATCAAAGGGGAAACTACAGATAAATCCCTAATCCAAAACTCAAAACACAGATCAGTCCCTAGGTAGTTTCCCTAAGCAATTCAGTCCCTATTCACGCGTCTGACATGCAGATCAGTCCCTAATGTGAATTTTATATATTTTATTATATTCTCTCTCTTCTTTTTCACTCTCACCCTTTTCTCTCTCCTCATTTTCTCTCTCTTCATTTTCTCTCTCTTCATCTTCTCTTTCTTTCTTCTCTTTCTTCATTTCTATCTGCTCTCTTTCTTCTCTATTTCTTCTCTCTTTCTCTCCTCTGGTTTCCTCTTTTTCCAAAGAAAATATCATTGTAAAACCCACCCACCCCACAATGGCTACAAATGATGTATCTAATGATGTACCCACTATGATTCTTGGAAGTTGTCGATATAAGCATCTGATAATGAAGATGAGTGTGGTCGACATTGTCGTGATCCGCAAAGATGAAGCTAATTCGCGTGGAAAGAGGGTTCGCACCGATGGCTGGTAGGTCTCCATATTTTTTCTGTACTGCTGAAATGCATTTCTTTATGGTCGTTAATTATTGTGATACATAGTATAAAATATGGCACGTAATAGTATCATGCTAATATAAATATGGTATGGACGTATGGTACTTACAGTACGTAATCGTTGTTCGTATAGTATGCGTGATTGGTAAATTTGGTACTGTTGGTGGGAAAACATAGTATCATATAATGGGGAAGATAGTACGTAACCTTCATCTGAATAGTATGGGTGATAGGTAAATTTGGTACTGTTGGTGGGAAAACATAGTATAATATAATGGGGAAGACAGTACGTAACCATTATTCGGATACGTACAAGCAGGTATATCAATTCACGATTAACCCAATTCCCTCGTTTGATGAGGACTTTGACTTGTACGATGCGTGTAATGCTCCGCCCGATGTCTTTGTTAATGCAGCTGATTGAGAACTCGACCAGGACGTAGAAAGACAAAAAGAATTCATTCACAAGTGCAGTTCGGGTTTTACTGTTGCCCACACCATGGTTACTCCCATTGGTGTGAACCATTTGAAGTTGGGCAAACTTTTTCCAACTCAAATCGTGAAGAAAATGAAGCTACAAGTGCGTCGATGAACCAAGTCCATCGAGAAAGTGAAGTGAAGAATTGCAATTCTGAAGGTGGAGTAGTTCATAGTTTGATAGTGTTGAATCTAGTAATATTTGCAGTCTACATGCTATGTAAAACCTATGTACTGTTGTTTAATTAGTGAACATAAGAGTACAATGTATAAGCTGGTAAAGTTAGGGTTATTCGTGCATATCGTACGCTTTGTACACATGTGAAGTACAAGTGATTCGTGACTATAGTACGCTTTGTTCACTGATAAAGTATATGTTTGTCATTCATATAGTA